CCTACACTGTTATTTTAACATGCAACAGTGTAAGTATTCTTGTTTGCTGTTGAATTCAATAAATTTTCTAAATTCCTTGCATTGAGGTGGTGAATTGTAATGCTTGCTATAGTGAAAAGGATTGGACAAAGATACTTCTGTGACGAAGTACCGAATGCTTAGATTACCTAAAACTTAGAACAACTAAAGCAACTCTTCTGGCTAGGTTATGATGATATGAGATGAATGTTCAGGGAGGAAAACTGATATTGAGCAACCTGCAAAAATATCAGATGCAAAACTATATTGGTTGCTTAAAGAATGCCAGCCTGAAGGCAGATCTTTCCAAATGCTGTTTCTGGAACTCATGGGGATGTTCTAGCAGCTGAGGATCAGCTGCATGCAGCAGCCAGCAAGCTGTGTTCCCTTCATTCCAGCCAGGCCTCTAAGTTAAAGTGCTGGGAAGCAGTAAAAGCAGGTGTAATGGCTGAGCATTTCAAGATGGTTGTCCTACACATTGAAATCCTCTACACCCATATGCAGATCTCTTATCTGAATCCTGGTGTATGTGTTTCTGCACATCAAGACACGTAATAGAGAATGAGCACAGGTTTGTTCCATCACATGACAGAATTGACTTTTATGTGAGGTTGGGTAACAGAGGTACCACCGTCATGCTGGGTCATGTGATAGCCTTGACTTTTGTCACAAGATCACTAGAATATTTCCCTGACAGCAAGTTTGACACACTGCTGGAGATGGTGCTTCCCTAGGTGCAGATCTACTTGACATGAAAAACATGGTACATTGAAGTACAGAGTCTGCAATGTAGCACTGCATTGCAAATACATGTGAGTCTGTGCCATAGAGGAGCTTCTGATGAAGTCAAAAAAGTATAGCTCATACCCATCTCATGGGATTTTATAGGCCTTATTTTAAGGACTAAACACATTACCCACACTCTCTACTGAAGGGCCATCCTAGTCATGCTTCTAGAAGTCCCTTCTCTTCAAAAGGAAAGAGGTAGTAAGGCTCATAGTTTGAGAGCAATGAGGGCGATCAGGAGTTCCCCAGTGCAGTGAGTGTTTCCATTGCTTTTAGAGTCTTTTATTCTTGCATGTTAGAAAATGCAGTATGTGACTTCAAAAGACAGAACAAGAAAAGAGAGGGACGGAAGAGAACTGCATTTCCTGCAGGTGATTTGTAATCCTGCATGTTTTGCATTTTGTTGTCTTTTGGACTGCAGTACTGTAGGTCCTCTTCCAATAGTATGGATTCCTTCTGAGTATGAGTGCTTATAGATGCTGGGTTCCAGTATCCATTCTTGTTCCCCTGACTACTTCAGTTTGAATAGCTCAGTTATATGTTTCTGATATAACTGGCTCTTCTTTTGTTACAAGAGTCTGCGTTGTTGTTGTAAAACTTCCCCTGACTAGGCTGACTGGGGTGAATCATTGGTTCCTTTTCATGCATTCTTTATACATACCTGCTAATACTGTCCTGCTCTCCCACATCATCATACACTTCTTGGTCACTCTCCGAATGTTTCACAGCAGCTCTGGTGGATGGTTGTTGCTTTCTTCTTAAAGAATCATAATCAATCTCCACCATGGTTGTTTTAATGTATCCATCTAAATGAATGAAACCATGTAATTAGGCAGAGATATTTTTAAAGCTTATGGTAAAGGGATGAGTTTAACAGAAGGTTCAGAATCAATGATTGAATTGTTTTGTATGATCTTTGAAAACTTTCAAAGAAATGTCTCATTCCAAGCAGCCTCAACTTGAGTCTCCATCTGTCTACACAAATACAAATCTCCAATCTGTCTCAGATTTCCCCCCAAACCCTCCTCAGCTCATGTCAAGTTAACTTCACCTTTATTTACTTCTCAGCTACAGCAGAAGAATTTGCTGTGCACACTCCAGGAATCACGGGGCAAGCTCCCTTTCTCGGCTAACCTTGGAGCCACTGCAGTCTCGTGGCATATTTTAGGGCAGTCCATGACATAAAGATTCTGACAGGTCATTAGGAGGGAGAGACACTTTTTTTGCATCGATTTTGCTTCAGGTTGGTAAACACGCTGCAGCTGCATTGCTATCCTCTTGTCCCTGGATCTTTGCTAAAAAGATGTGGTTATACCCCTGGATGCAATGGCTCAGGAGAAACTTGCAGCAGAGCAGTTGGCCTGAGATTGGGAACTCTGTCTCTGCTGAGGGGAATTTTAGACAGACGTACTGCCTGTGCAGAATAGAGCCTGATGGATTTTCTGGAAGGTGAAAAATGCTCATGCATTCTTGAAAATGGAAAATCCCCCATGCCACTGCTTTTGAATGAGCCCAGTTTTTAGTGTGCTTCCCCTCAAATCTGTAACACATTGTTTTGCTTCTTTTATTTAAATGATTAGAACTGATTTTCCTCTGTTGTTTGGTCTTCTTCACAGACCATTACTGGCGTGTGAACATTGAAGGCTGAAGCACTGGGGAAACAAATTGGGCTGTGCTGTTAACACTTGTCAGTGAGAAGCCTTGTACAGCTTGCAGTTTTGCTAAGGCAAGAATTGGTTTATGAAAAGTAAATTAATTGAAGGTAAATTAATTAATTCACCACACATGCTTAAGAAAATACCTTTCTCCCAGCCCTCACTAAGATTTGTTTTCCTATGTACAAAATGATCCATGCAAAAGACTTATTTACAAAACTTCAAAGTATCACAGGAAAGCTGATATTGGAACTTACCTTTTGAGATCATCTTGGCCAATCCCCCTGCCCAAGGAGGATCTGCTAGAGCAGGTTGCCCAGGACCATGTCCCATCAGGCTTTGAAGATCTCCATGGATGGAGACTCCACCACCTCTCTGGGCAACCTGTTCCCTTGCTTGGTCACCCTCACAGTAAAAAAGTGTTTCCTGATGTTCAGACAGAATTTCATGTGTTTCAGTCTGTGCCTGTTGCCTCTTGCACTGTCACTGGGCACCACTGGAAAGAGCCTGGCTCCATCTTCTTTACACCTTCCCATTAGATATTTATGAACAATTATAAGATCCTCCCTGAGCCTTCCCTTCACCAGCCTGAACAGACCACAGACTCTCTTTATATGAGACACGCTCCAGTTCCTTAATGTCTTTTTACATCCAGTACTACAAAGTGCTCAGCTGCTATTGTCCAGTTCTAAATGTGTGAACTGTCTTACTGAGCTTATTGTCACTTTAGTTTCCTTAAAAGTCAAGCAAGTGCTTTTAATAATTTTCATTGACTTTATGGATCAGTCTTTTAATGTCTTTGCTACAACCCAGGAGCCAGATCATCAACCCCTTAGCACACTGATAGATCCACTGATGATATTTATACAATTAGAGAAACATCTTGGATTTCAGATAAAATAAAATCTAGAAATCAATTAGAAACTTCCCACAGGAATAGGGACAAGACAAACACCTAAAACAGGACCTTATATGCTCTGCTTCTATTTTAGGAACACCCATGTTATTTTTAATACAATGACATGAAAAAATGCAATCCTTATTACTTGCACGGAGCAAAGTCCTGATGCTATTTGAAGGCTGACATGGAATTACCACTCAACAGGTATGTGAAGAGCGCAACATATTGTTCCTAACTTATTCTAGTGCCTGTAGATGTTACATTATGTTGTACAGTGACTTCCTACTATGAACTAAGCCTCGCATGCCAGCTAAGGACAGGAGGGTGAGTTGGGGTAATTATTTACCAGGGACTCAGCCTTGGAAAGGATAATCCTTGGTGTAATGCTCACATGTTTGCTGTCATACAGTGAAAACATTCAGGAGCACAATGAAGAAACAGAACTCAAAACATCCTTTCATCCTGCCCAGCCACTTTCCTTCTGGGTTGTCTGTGAGGCGAATTATTTCAATCTCATCCCCCTGTTTGAAAGTCAGTTCATTCTTCCCTCCCTTGTGGTCAACACAAGCTCGTGCCTGATGAAGGACTTGGACGGGTCCGGTTAACTGCAGAGAAGGAGCAACAAAAGAAATCACAGATGTGGAAAAATTTAGTTCTTTCCCAAACATTCAGACAAAAGAGAAAATAACTGTAATGATGATTATTTGTTTCATTGACATTTAAAATAGTCTAGGCAAATAAACAGAAAGGCATCGCTCCTGTCCCCAGCTACCCAGTTTAAATTAATAATCAGGAATGAAAAGAGAGGGCAATGGCATAGCAGTAGGGCAGCTGAAGAAGTGATTGGCAAAATCACAGAAATACAAAGACTAAAACCAACAAGCTAACCTATGGAGCCTTTCACAGGTTCACAAAACAGACATGTATTTAATTCCAGTGGGCAGCTCCATTTAGTTCCAGCAGAACTACTCATATGAGTAAATGTTCATTAACATAAATAAGTCTACCACATAATGTTCTGTGTTTACAATTCTACTCTATAAGTGGTCCTACAAGTACTCACAAGAGATGATCACACTGTTTACTGGAATTCAGGATTCTCTTTGTGAGATCTTTAATATATGTTATGGAGGAACCACTTTGGATTTTACTATCTGTGGCTTTAAGATATATGTGATCTTGCAGAGGCATGTGGCTGTTGATAATTCTAGACTAGCTCAGGAATATCTATCCTGTATAGGTGGCGAAGAAATGGGAAAGAAAATATGCACTAAAATATATTAGTTTGCATTTAAGAATAAGAACATACTTTAATGGCTGCAAGAGAGGAGTCTGAAAGCATCTAGTGCACTAATGCCTACACTTGAGAGGAGTGGTCTGAAAAATAGACTTGAGGCCTGACAAATGACAGCTATAAACCCACTATTATTAACTATTAGTATTTTCCTTTAATATTTGCTCCTCAACTCATGTCAGTTCCTCCATAGCAGACCAAGGCCATGATGTGAGAGAATCACCATGGCTTTACTGTGTATAGAGCATAACAGGAAGAAAAACAAAGCTGCCCACTGTGTACAATGACACTGAAAGAAGCACAGTGGAGCATTGTGAACAGGCATCAGTTAACGGAAAATGACTGACAGATTTGTAAACTGTGGTAGCATGCTGACCACCAGCTATATAAAAATGATATAAACCAGAAAGAGCTGTCTCATCATTTCGCCCCTAGGCCTTGACAGTGACTGTATCTCCCCTACACGTGCCCTATTCCTGTCCTCCCCATTTAGGCTGGAAGTCCCTTTAGGTCTCTTTAGACCAAGGCAAGGGCAATGTGTTGCAATACAATGTTGAAATCTCTTCGGGGCTGGATACTGTTGTATCTGACTCCAATGAAGCAAAAACCACTAAGTATATGGGATCCAATTCCCACTTTTATTAAGGACTTCTGATGCTATTCTAGTGATGTAAATGTTTTTTAAACAGAAAAGTGAAAGGAAATGTTTTTAAGACTTTTTTACATAGAAAGAACGTGAGAAGGGAATTTAACAAAAACTATATAAGCACTGAAAAAATGTCTTTGCCCTCAGTACAGAGCCTGAAGTCAAGCATATGCCAAACATAAAAGGGTAGCTTAAACCTTTATTCAGAATTTATCCAGGTGCTTGAACTACCTGCCATAATAACTGGCTTTGTAGCCAGCTGAAAACTGTATTTTGAACTCAACAATGCTAAATAATGCTTCTTACACGTCTTTGGCCAGATTCCAAAACAAAAAGCTTACTTTGAACTTCTTCCTTATTTCCTGCTCTTTCTTTTCTTTTTCCTTTTGTTCTTTCTTCTCTTGGTCCATTCTTTTCTTTTCTTCCTTGTCCCGCTTCTTCTCTTTTCCCCTTGATGATCTGAAAGTGCATTGCCAGGACTGAATGTAGCAGTGAAGCAAATTTCACTGGAGCTTTCTTACCCAAGGTTAACAAAGAACTACGTGTGATGGAAAAAGACTTCTCCCAGTGAAATCAAAGCTACAGATTCTAAACCCTAGTCTGGCTGCAACAGATAGAGTAAGCAGCCCTTTCTCTCATATTACATATATAATTTAAAATGGCTGTCCTCAAGAGGACAGTACACCAGAAAGGGTTATCTGGAGGTAAGAGACTGGCTCTGCATGTGCATGTCCAAACATCTCTGAGCTAATTATGGCAAGCAAGCTTGGACACTGGTAGCAGTCTAGGTGTTGTGGCACTGGCTGCACATCATAAATGTGCCTATCACGCCGGGGTACATTGCCTGCTGTGCCTCATGTACTGGATTGTACTGACATCTGGGCCCTGGGATGTAATTAGGACTATAGCTACCACTCTGCCGTTCGCTGCCAGTGGTTTGGTTGGAAGAGCTATGCTTTACAAACCCTATGGAACTGATTGAGTGAGGCTCCCTCCTCTTCCTTTTTTGGTACTTTTGCTAAACTCATATTATATATGCTCAAATTATATTAAAAAAAAGACTAAATGATGATCAGTTGTTTTGGTTATATAGTTTTATAATTATCTATTTTCAAAGGTAATTCAACAGTAAATTTTTGCTGAAAGTCATTCTACATCTGAAACAAGGAATATTTGTGTAGGAACTTTAGACTGTTACTTATTCCAAGGGAATTAGAGCTTTTCTTTGGCTGTTGTCATACAGTGAATCCCATACATTTAGACATTAGCAGGGCGAGAGACTCCTCAAAGTAAAGGGCTAAATGGCAGAAGAATGACTAGAGTTCATATTCTGGCTCGGTAGCTATGCTAGGGGACTCAGTCCGTGAGAACTGTAAATCCAGGCCTCTCATAGGAGTTCTAAGTACATTTACCTAGAAAGCAAAAAAACCAACCACAACAAGAGATCTATCTGGGACCTTAGTACCTAGGGGCTGAGCTTATTTTTCCTCCTATACTGTAATTCCAAGCAGTGATTCAGACATGTTCCTTAGACCAGAAATCAGACTTCTGTTATCTAGATCACAGTAACCACATGGTTTTATTGCAGGAGTTTTTCCAGCCCAGGGCATAGCAGATCTCAGTAGTTAAGGACCTGTGAACAACCTGACTTTCTCTAGGTGAAATGAGTGAACACAATAATGCCTGGCAGGGACTGCAGTGGAATCACACTTTTGTGACAGGTGAAGTATCTTTGTTAGCAAGCTTTTAGTAATAAAGATACAATAGGTTATAGAGTTTAAAATTACTACCTGATGTCATTTATGTCTTCATACATCTCTCCATCACTTTCTTGGCCCTATAAGAAAAATTCAGTTTTCAATGGCCAAGATACACTTGGAAAGACATGAAGAAAATGGACCTGCTATGTGAGCTTCATACAAAGTATATAAAACCATTTACAGCAAAATGTAAACACAAAGTAATTTAATCTTCCCAAACCAAGTTACTACATTTTTCAAACCCACTATTTTTTTTTCTGACTTTGTTTTTACGATACCACAACTATAAAGTCCTGGATTGTTACAATCACACCAGCACATTGCTTAATCCAAAGTGGATGTTTTAATTGCAATGTTAGTCCTGGAAAGCCTTTATCTGTGTGGATGACTGCACTCCCATGATGAAGGTGTCAGGGTTAGCAGTAGTTAAACTGGAACGCTAGGGATCTAAATGGGACTCAGATTAGGGTCACAGAGACTGTTTTAGTCCTAATACAGCCAGGTACTTGAAGACATGATACAAACCTGTGCTTAACTGAAACAAGTGGTTTATCACCAGAATAGAACAGGGCCCTTGTTTCTGGAAAATTTCAGTGAGATGAAATGTCAGTGGAAATAGAAGGGGTGGTTTTGCCTTTTTTTAAATCAATTTTTGGTGTCTAGCCAGCTTTGATAATTAGTTCCAGTTTGCTCTGCTTACCCAGTTTTATTTCTGTCCTTCACAATAAGTGAGTGCTTCTACAATTTACTGTCAATATACTGGTTTCATTCTGCAATTAATTTTCTAATGTGTTGAAGAGATTTACTAAATTTGTAAGTTTGTGCTAAAAAGGATAAGTTTATCATGGAGAATAACACTTACCCCCTCTGTATTTCCATGACCTATGTGACAAAAAATAGAATATTTATTTTTTTGATGTACAGAAAGCAATTCATTCTAGCATTAACTATTTACAAACTGCTAATAATACCAGTGATATTAACTAGAAATATGTGCAGGCTCCTGGCTTTTGATGAGGGTATGAATGTAAAAATCAGAGTTCTTCCAAGTTGCTTTTGTAGTACACTGTAAACTAGAAATATCTACAAAATAGCGTATTTCACCATGTAGTTTTAAAAGTGGATTTTTTCTTTTAAAGATTCTTCTGTGACATTGATGAACTTGCCTATGCTATTTATTTACAAGAAAGTCATTGTTAAAAACCTAATAAATCCAAAAAGACCTCAAAGAACTTGTTTGCACCAGCCCCACAGCTGAATAAGGAGGCCAGAGGCCTTACTGCTAAGCCAGCCTCTATCCTGGGCTGCAGAAGAAACTCCGTGAATTTGCTGCTTCCTCTTTTCTCTGCAGGTAGTTAGGTAAGAAAAGAGCTTGGGCTCAGTTTCAGCTCCATAGCCCACATTGCTGTATGTCAGGGATGGCTAGCACACTAAATGATGCATACTGTGCCTGGCACAGACCAAGTCCTCTCGAGGAGAGATCAGAAGGCAGATTGAAATTCTTTGTGTCACAATCTGCTGCTCTGGCTGCTCCTGGTACAACACAGCGACTCACTGCCTCTTACTGAAGGCAGACCACAAAGCAACATTAAAAGCACAGTCAACAATTTTTTTTTAATTGAGTATAAAACAATGCCTGCTTCACCAGAGCACACAACTTCAACTCTGAAAAAGCAGCATTCATTTTGGTTCAGATTTGAAAATCTGGTAATGTACAGTCCCAGCATATTTCTAACCAAAAAAGTGGGGGAGAGGGGAGGTATTTAAAGCAGTTCCTGAGTCTGTCGTATTAATTATACAACAGTTAGTGTTACGAGACAACTGTCTTCACCCATAAAACTGCAGAACCAGCACAATTAGTTATACAAATCACTCATGAATACAATATGCTTTTGCTTATCTTATAAATACAACATGCTTACAGCTTCCTATAGATGCCATTAATTAAAATATATGCATCTTACCCTGTGAAACAAATTCAACATCATCATAATTTTCTTCATTGTCTGGAGTTCTGTAAATACAAAAAAGTGGACGTGAAACCTATGAAGATGGTTTTCTGATTGCATTTTCACTCACCATTTTTCTGGTTCTTTTTTCAGCTATTTTATACAATAGCTGGACAGTCTTTTGAGCCCTGTATGCTACTTAAGTACCCACGAGATTCCCTAAACTGTTCTTTCTGACTGTGACTTGTTTTTTCACATGGGGACACCTTGATCCTGAGTATAAAGGGAGAAAATGAGCCAAAGGCGCTTAGATAGCACAGAGATGAGTGTGGTATGGAAAATATAATAGGCAGATGGGCTGCCTGAATGGAAAGAATCTGTTGGGCTTTTTAACCATCTTCGCAGGTACAGGCTTCTTACACAATGCACAAGCAGAACACCAGACTTTTGCACAATGTTAAATATAGCTCTAAGACTTGCTCCTTCACTTGTGGAGCTTAAAGTCTAAATCAGGGACGAGACAAACAGTGGTATAAGGTTAGGCCAGGTAAAAGGTCTCTGATGTTTTTAGATTTAAACGTGCTGCCAAACAGAAGCAAGAAATAGAGAATGTAACTAAGAATAACATCAGGGACTTTTAACTTTGTAATACCTTATAACAGTTGAAAGAAAACCATGGCTGACAGTCGTCATCAAAGAGGTGTAACCAAAGAAAGGATTGAAAGCAGAAAGTGATCTTTTAAAATTGGCTCGATGGAGAAAGCACTGAGACGGGGGAAAGAAAGCATGTCAGCACCCAGGCACATATTTTCAGCAGAGGGGAGAGTCCAGAGGGCACACAGGAACGGGGGAGCAGGACAGTCTGGAGATGAACTTCGCAGGTCCCTGAAGGCAAAGAGGCCACGCTTGGCTGCCAGGCACTTGGTGGGGATGGAGCCCTGCGGGGCAGCCGCCAGGTGGGGCGGGGATGGCGGCGGTGGGGGGGAGGCAGCTGCTTCCCGCAGCCCCGAGCGCGGCGGCGGCAGCGCTAGGCTGATGTTGTCACACCATCCGTACCAAAATACGGTTTGCGTGCTGACACACACCTCTCTAATGCCGAATATAGTGCCCCTGCCTGCCGTTTGCTGCTATTTGCAGTAACTGCTGGCCAGAGAGCAGCTCACTCTTCAGGCTCAGCTTGTTTCCGGTCAGTTTTGACACTAGGCCGAAGTGCTTTTAATGCTTTGTCGCTGGGAGGTTCCCCTTTTGTGTGCAGCTTTTCGAAGAAGGATAAAGAAAGGAGCCCCATATGCGACAGGGGCTTCTCAGTGTTATCGCAACAGGTCACGACGCAGCTCCTGGTGCAGTTTCACAACCAGCGCTGAGCTGTGTACCTCTGGCTTGCAAAGCTGCTTCCTGGGGTATCGACTGATAGACCTGACCCTCCTGGCCCTCTTCGCCCAGAAAAATGCATCAGAGAGCTTCAGTTATTGATGCAACTGATTTCCTACCAGTGTATGAAGTCTTTGAACCCTTCTGGATTAAAAATCCCAGCAGGGTGTCTGTTCCCTCCCCTTACCAACAGGGCAGAAAAAAAGTGTTGTTACAGATACACAACTTAGGGAAACAACTGAATAGACGGAGGAGTCAAGCTAATAAAAACTCATTCCAAACAGGCCAGGGACAAGGTAGGACAAGGAAAGTGGTGTGGGACCCCACTCCCCCGGAACCCTGGGACACCTGCAGCCTTAATCTGCTGCTGCATGAGCAAAGTAATAGGCAGAAAAAGGTGAGAAAATAAAGGCCTTGGGGTTTATATTCACTTACATTGTTTCAGAGCTGGGCTTGGTGTTCCTGGGAGGCAGGCTGGGAGCTGCTGGGGCCTGCAGGCATGGGTGAGAGGCTGGAGGAGGAGGTGGCAACTGGGCAGCAGAGTGTGGTGGAGGTACAGGTGGGGAGAGTGCTGCTGAGGAAGGTCCTGTCTGTTTCAAACCCTCATTTTTAAGGCCTGAAAAAAAGCAGAACAGACTGAATTCATCAAGCAAACAGCTAAGGAAGGAGCCTTGCTGTTTACATGAAATATTAGGATAAAATATCTGTACTGCACACACCCCAGAGCAAATATATTTTGTTGAACCTGCTTCTTAGATATACTTGGTGGCTTATCTTACCAGCGTAGAGAGACTCTGCCTAGAAGAACATACTGACTATAGAAGGCCTTGAAAAATGTCTTTGCCAAGACAGTTCATCCAGTATGTAAGCTCTTGTGCTTTAAAACTAAATTATCATTTAATTCTACAATTTGCTTGAAAAGACTGGCTGCAGAGTTTCACATGAGCACTGATGCAGTCTTGCTGAAGTTTTCCTTGCTCGGACAGAGAGTTTCAAGGGAAGGATGAGAGATTAAAAGATATTTTGGCATTGATTAAGAGGTGTACAGGTCTCCGTAACTCTTCAAATATGTTTGTAACGTAAGTTTTAAAAGGCTGGACTTAATATTCTAGCAAGCCCATACTAGAAAAGTGGCAGTTTGTGAAGCTGCACAGAAGCTACACCCTCAAAAAACAGGTGCAGCCTTAAAAACAAGATGATGCAGTGCACCAGGCACAGAAGCCATAATTACGTGAGTGGGCTGGTGTGCATGTGTGCTGCACTGAATGCATGCTCCATGTACAAGTACATGACCCGCAAAAAAAAAAAGCCACAACCAAACCATAGTAACCATTGCTTTGAGAGCTGACGTTGAGAGAAGTTATTCAACACAAACAAATGAAATCACTGTTTGGATGCCATGATGTTAAACCTAGAATTTTGTTTCAAGTATCATGAGTGGATTAAAAGGTACCCAGAAAGAATTGTCCCTAGCTGTGTGGAGGGAAGTCCAACAAAATCTAAGAAAGAGGAGAGCAGAAGGAAAAAGCAAGTTCACAGCTCAGTTAAAACCAGTTACAATCAAAAAGAACTCCCTTGTCTTCTGGAGGTTTTCTTCAAGTTCACACCTGTATACTGGAGATTAAAATCTTGTCAAGAAAAAGAAACTTTCACCACATTGGAAAAAAGTGGCTTAAACACAGAACAACGACAAATATTTGGTAATGCTTAATATCAAGACTGAAAGAGCTTTCTTTAGCTGCTCAGGAGTCTGAAATTCGGTCTTTTGGATAGACAGGAGAAGGGGAATTGATAACTGTTAGAAGGACCCCTCATGTGTCACACGGAAATCAAAGCAAAATTACCATGCCTAGACAGTTAGTCTGCTTACTAACAAAGAACTCAAAAATTTCTGGATAAATTGGGCTTCATGGCTGCTTGGAGCAACTTGTCAACATATGTGTCAACAGCCGTGCCTTTGAAACCTGTTAAGTTCCTCCATCACTTAAACAGCAAAGTACTAAAAGTCCCAGCACTGGTGATTACACAGGTGAATTCTTTGGTGCTTTTGTTAAGGAACATTCATCTTGCAAAAGCAGATTACAATTTAAGATGTGCCAAGATTAAAGTTGTATGGTATCACATATCTTCTTATTCACGTATCTTTTTATCATTTTATTCGAAAGTATAGCCCAAAAGTCAATAAATAATTCTTTCACTTAGTACTGAGGCGGCTACAGCAGGCTTAGTGTGTGCCAGCTGGAGAGAGACCAAAGGAGAAGAGTGAGAATGATTAGAGGTCTAGAAAACATGAACTCCTGGAGATATTGAACAAATGGTGGTTGTTTAGGGAAATATGATAAGACTAAGGGAGAACAAAATGAATACCCAAGTCTCTGGAAAAGAAGAAAGGCATTATTTTTTCCTTTCTTTTTCTTCATTTCCATGGTGGAGAAGGCAAGAACTAATGTGTTTAAAGGCCAGCAACATTTGTTAGGAGGCACTTTCTAATAGTGAAGGTGGAATTTCCATGGTTTGAGGTCCATGTTGAAGAAGTAGGATAAACTTATGGCACAAGTAAACTGTATTACAGTTGTTCTTACCCTACACATAGGGATGGACCAAACAACTTTTTTATGTTCCTTCCAATTCAATGATGACAACCTCTGTTTGTTTTCCTGTATTTTACAAGACATCACATTTAAAATACTTGCCCCTATATTGAGCCCAACATCTAAAGATCTACTAAAATATCATTTTGGCTAAAACTTGTCTTCCAGAAAGGTGTCCCACTCGTTTGAAGATGAGAGGAAGAATGTACCATTACAAAGTTTGTTTGGTTAAGTTCGGTCATTGTTAAAATCTGCATGTTATTGTTTTCTAAGGTCATCAGGCTTCAGGTTCTGTTACATTTATTTCTACCTTTGCTTACTAGATCAAAAGGCTTTTTATAACCACTGTTTTCTACCCATAAGGTATTGATATCACTGATCTTAACCAATATCTCAGATTTTGGTAACTTTAAAGACCCAAGCTTTTTAATCTGATCTCAAGACATTTTTTTTTCCATCTAGCAATTAATTTGTAGCTATTTCTGTAATCTCTCCAACTTTTCCAGCATTGTAAAAAATTTGGCACTGGAATTCTGGAATTGCACTGGAAGACACAGCACGCACTTGTCTGCCACATACAGTGATGAAAATTACAAGTCATTCTTCATCTGGCCATATCTCTACTGATTGCATCCAGGGGCTTTCAGTATTTTCTCTGATTGTCATCCCTCCTCCTGTTTTGGAAGTGCAGACACCTGAATATCAAACTAAGGCCCATTAGAAAAAAGACTTTGTAAGTATATGAAGATTCCCTAGGGGTAGAACTCCAAGAATTTAGGGTTACAGGCTGACAACCATTATGCATTAGACTTTTCTGTCACATCATTGTCCTTACTCAGCTGTAGAGTTGTTTATGATGTCTAGGTTTTTTTCCCAAGGCATTACACTACCTCGTTTCACAGGTATGGTTCACATTTCTTGATTCTATGCGTATATTTGCATTTGAGTAAAGACAAACTTTGTTTAAATGAGCCAAGATTACACAATTGTGCTCTTGTTGTATATCAGTCTCTGAGGACTATGTGTTCGCATTTAACTCTTCACAGTCTTTATTCATCCACAGATTTTGTCAGCTATAATCTCTTATTGTTCTAAAATCCCTGATAAAGCTGCAAGCACTGACAATCGAAGCATGTATCTGCAGTTGAATTCTTTTAAGCAGATTCTAACCAAATAAAGAAACCAGAAAGGTTTTTTTTCATAAAAACCTTGTAAATTGGTATTAATTATACTCTCAAATTTTTGTGTTTTAACAGGGAATCCTGTATCAGTTTTTCCATGGTTGTATTTATGTTGCCCTAATACAGTGTTGTGTATATGCAGAACATGCATACATGTATTATGTCATCATACAGCGTTACTTCGTTGTGATTGGTTTGTAGGATTAAGGTAAAAATTCTGCCCGAGTCTCTGTGCATAATACTTCTTTCATCTGATGTCTCTTGAGAGCCAAATCCAGGCAATAGGAAACTGAGCCAGGAAAGAACACCACATGGATTTTAGATTAAGTATTTATTTTTAAGTATAAGGGCTGAACAACCTGTCCATTTTAATTTATGTACATTGCTGGAATCTAACAATAACTAAATGACCATCATATTAACGGGAACACTGGTTTTTATTTTCTAACTATTAGAAGAGACTCTTCCCTGCCTTTAGAGCTGTAATTACCTACACCTACACTGACTGAGACTGATGTGGGTGTAAACTGCTTTAATTCTAATTCTGAAAATAATGGGATGAGTTAGATAGGAAGGTGACATTCAGTATGAAAAAGCTGTTATAATCAGGCCCGCAGAGCCAAAGCTATCATAATGTTTCAGTAGTGTTTTGTTTCCTATTTTAATGGAGCATTTCATTTTGACTCCAGTTCCATCTTTCTGTGTCTCTGAGACACTTGGTACTTTGAGGACATGGAAAGGCTCTGTACTGGTAGTGGAACTGAAGTCAGTTCCAGGCACTCAGAACAAGAAATCAAATTGAAACTACATCCTGCCTTCACATGCACTCAAAGCAGTCTCATCACAGGAAACAGTGTTAAGGACCATCACTGTGTGGTAGTCTTGACCGCTAACACAGTTTCCAAGTAGCCTCTTCTCTCTTCTTGGGACTCTCAGCTTTTTCACATGCTGTGCCACACTGAAGAAACAGATGCAGAAACTGAAGCTCTTGACAAAGAAATGAAAGAACAGATGAAAAGCAACAAGTTCCTCAAAACCTGTGCAGCTGTACAGAGGCTAAGAGAAACTTTCCATAGAAACTGTCCATAGAAAGTACAAAATATCCCATTACACTGCTGCTTGTGGTATTATGCTTCTTCAATCATGCCCAGAACTTCAGCACTTGGAGCAGAACTGCGCACAGAACACGGCAAAGGCTTCTCTTGTGTTCTTGGGGAGCCTGCTCAAACAACTTCCATACATGCAGCAACCAAAAGGTCAACTACATTTTTCGAGAATGTTTATTTATCAGGAAGTTCAGGACACTGAAGTTGTCTTGACGCAAAACTTGTAACTTTGACCGTTGCCATTCCTGGCTTGTGAAAGGGAAATACTGGTACCTCTTTGGTAGCTAACATAACATACAGAGAAACATTCCATCTTCCCTTCATGTCCAGATATTCTGTGTTCAGCAACCTCAGGAGACATCAGCCTGTGTATAACAGTACTCTATAATTTCCATGCCTCTCCTGTGTGAAATCAAAGAGAAACTAGTAAAAAAAACCCAATAAATCCAGCTTTTTGGAACTCCTGTACTCTATGTGGTCAAAAGCAAGTTTCAGGGCAGGATGAGAAAAAAGCATCCATTCTCACCTTGTTAAAATCTTCAGTGCCGTCTTGAGATGCTGTATTAGTCTTTCCTGAGATGCTAATACCAGATACATGTGGCAAACTGAAGGGAAATCCCAGCAGTGCCTGGAGTCCTTATTGGAGTAACACATGCAACAAGCAGTACTTGGTGGGATAGGAATCTTACAGGAACCAGTACTTTGTCCAGGGTCAGTTCCCCTTAGTCCTTTTCAAAA